ACCCTGCGCTGCGTCATCAGCGAGCAGCTGCTGCGCTCCAGGAGGGCCGACCGCTACTTCTTCGACAACCCCGACCAGCCCTACCCGCTGTCTCCCGGTGAGGCCCGCAGCTGCCAGCCTACTATCGACACAGTGTTCCCGAACGGGCGGGTCCGAAGACTCGGGACGCGTCCGAAATCGTAGGTGTATACGAAGTGAGATGTATCTCCCTCTCGCTCTCACCTGCTCATTCGGTAGCGTCCCGGCCCGGGTCCCCAGACCCGCCCGTTTGAGAACACTGCTGCTCGAGAAACACGAACTCCCCCGCCGCCCGGAGCAGTATATGTGCGAATATAGAGTGACGACGATAGGCCCGCCGCGCCAAGGGCCAGCGAGCCACTTATTTAGTCGAAAACGTCGTGCTGTAAACGGCATCACTATCTTACATTTCCCCAGCAGCCTACGCCGGTGTTGGCGCCTGCAACGCGCTGGCCCAGTGAGAAATCAGTGGTCGAATCGACCTCGAATCGACGTCGATTAGGCAGGTCGGAAAATTGTCGATTCCAAACGTCGAATCGACGGGATTTTGTCCCGCAAATCGACGTTTTTTCGACATCGGCTATTTCGATAATTTTTCGAAAAGGGACTTAAGGGACGGATTTTAACGGTTGAGCTAAGTCCAATGGCGACTGTTGGTGTCCGTAGGCACCCCCCGCGTCGCCATCACTTTCAAAAATTACTGCAGGAGGTGAAGTCCGTGACGGACACCTCCCGCGTTCGAACGAATGCGTCTCCAGACTATAGTTGTTTTGGCGTTGCGGGTCACCAGCGAGAGCTAACTGTACAGTCAGGGGAAGACCCTGTCTCGAATCAACGTCGAATCGACATCGATCATGTACAATACGAAATTTCTTGCAATTTAGTACCAGGAACCGTTCTGTAACACGTCAAGACCCATTAGCTGAGTTAAGCCGTGTCATAGGGCACTTCTCGAGTAACATCGAAATTTCGTCGACAACTTCGTCTCAGGACCAACGATAACTTCTCGAGCAGTCGACGTCGATTCGAGGTCGATTCGAACACTCATTTCTCACTGGGTGGGTAGACCAGCCCGCCAAGCAGCAGTGTAGAGCCGGCGGCCCGCCCCCGAGCGCCCGCGAGTCCAGGGCTCTGGGCAAAGTTAGGCAGGGGGGCGTTTGGCGGCCAACGTTTGCTCACTCTGCAAATCTAACCGTATAACAAGGTGACAGTTTTAACTGCAAAACAAAATTTCTTACAGTTTAAACTGCGAAACTAAAAAGTTCTACATTTTATACTGCAAAACTGTGTAGCTCAACAGTTTGGACTGTAAACTAGCCCTATGCAGTTGTGCATTTTAAACTGTAGACCTTTTAAGTTTCGCAGTTTAGACTGTAAGGAGACTTTTAGTTTTGCAGTTTGAACTGTCACCTTGTCGTTATACAGTTAGACGTGCAGGGCACATCAGCTCACGTCAGTGCATCGTGGGGCGCCTCGCCTCGCCTCCCCCAACGTGTCCGTGGCGACGTGACGGTCCCCGCGGCGGACAAAGCCGTGGAATGCGCCGCGCGTCAGCGAGTCCCAGAGGCTGGGACGGAAGCGCGACGCCTCGGGTGTCTGTCTGTCTGTCTGTCTGTCTGTCTGTCTGTCTGTCTGTC